AAAAAAAAAAAAAAAAAAAAAAAAAAAAAAAAAAAAAAAAAAAAAAAAAAAAAAAAAAAAAAAAAAAAAAAAAAAAAAAAAAAAAAAAAAAAAAAAAAAAAAAAAAAAAAAAAAAAAAAAAAAAAAAAAAAAAAAAAAAAAAAAAAAAAAAAAAAAAAAAGAATGTTCATATTACAGGGAAAGAACTGACAAATACAAATATATGGCACTTGTTTGAAAACTGGAATACTGACAAAATTGCTAAGATTGGGTACAGAAAATCTGCATCAAAACTATGAAAACCAGAAATGCCAAGCATTCCTATTACATTAAAATCCCTAAGCTATTATAGAAAAATATTAGTATAAAGACACTAATAAGTTTGGCTTACAGAACCTCGGTTTTACAAGAGATTCTTGCCCAGAAGTGCAAGTTAAAAATATTAAATCGCATTTTAATTGCATTCTCTTTCCTACTACAGAGTTTCTTTCTTTATTTTTTTTTTTAGCATTCTTACCAACAGGAATTTTTTCAAAGGTGCAGAAGTAACACATACTCTAGAAATGATGGCTCGAGTCATTTACGCCTGTTTGTGTCCAGGCCTTCAAACACACCTGCCTATTCCTTCACTATCTGGGTGTAATTTGTGCACTGCTCAGCCTGTGCTGTGTCTGCTTCTCTCCCCTCCACGCAGGCTGGGCTCTTTTGAGATAGATGAAGGGTATCGAAGTCAATTCCACACACACACACACACACACACACACACACAGGGAGTCATCAAATATCACAGCAATCACCCACTGCTTTCCATTTGGCTCTTGCAAATATCAGTAACTCTAAAGACAAACATACTACACGAAGTATATTGTATGTTCTGTACCACAGTAAAACCAGAAAACAGACTCCAGATGTTTCCTCAAATCCTGCCAAAAACGGAATTTGTAAAAGTGTTGCAAATCAAGCAAAGTTGGAAGCTCTGATGTAGGGAAAAAAAGGCACAAGGAATCTGTAGCTTTGTTAGCAGCAAATTTGTTCTGTCTTCACCTACTAGATAAGAAGGTCAATCCTGAATAAGTGTAAATACAGAAACTAAGAAGAAAAAAATTTCTCATTTTCTTCCAATTCATTACTTACTTAAAATTACATCTCAGATCTTCTACAGATTTGAGACTGAAAAACATTTTCAACAGCTCTCACTCATTTGGAATACTCGATTCCTTTGGGAGTTCATCAGACTCAGCTTTTAGCTCCACTAAAGTAATACTGCAAATGGGACTTGACACTTCATTTTCAAAATCTGTAACTTCCTCATCTTAGTCAGCATCAAACCAAAGCAAGTGATAAAGCAAGTGATGCTGCCCAAGCCCTGTTCTGTTGAAATGCAGAGAAAAGTAGGTTTGCTTGAACAACCCTTCGGTAGGAAGAACTGTTAGCTTTGCAGTGCCCCAGCTGAACAGTGTTTTGGGCTCACTGTCCCTCCTGTGGGTGCCAAAAACACCGGCTGCAGCACAGCAGCTTTACTAAAACCATGCACTGTCAAAACCAATCATCTCTGGAGGCTCTAGAGGTGGACTCATGTGGCCCACACACCCTGTAAGGCCTCTGAACATAAAAGAGTCAAAAACATTTCCACAGGCAGTTCACTACAACTATCTGATTGGGTTTGCGATGAAAAATTTGCCTGAAGCGTGCCAATGTTTTCCCTCAGACACAGAAGATGTCCAAGCCACTACTTTAGCCTTCACCTGCTGTCCTGGTGGGAACAGCAAGAATGCAAACTGTAGTGCAAAGTCCTCCTAACTGCTTGAATGTCAGCAGCTATTCCTGAAAACACCTGTGAACAAAAAAGGCCTTGGATCCATCACTAATGTGATATACTTTTTCCTCCTATAAATCTGATTCCAGGATATTCTTTAATGGGTTGCTTTATACCAACACGTACTTATAACCTGGAAGTAATGAACAAAACAAGGGAGGATTTGAAATGCATGACTTTCTGATCTGCATCTTGTCCTTCAGAAGTACAATGAGAGCCCTCAGTCCAAGCCCATTCTGTCCCACACTTTAACACACACACAGTCTACTGGACAATAGTTATGAGAAACCACAATTGTTTATAAAAGCTTAGGCAGAACTCCTGCAATCCGGGCACAATGAACTGGGAAGGGGGAACACAATTAGATATTTTACCTGCATAGCACTCTTTCCCAGCTTAACCACCTCAAACAAAGTGACAGGGTCCCCTTCTCCATTCTGCTGAGGGTGGCCATTCGCTCTTCCACGACTCACTCCTCGGGTTCCGGACTCGGAACGCCCCTTGTCTGCTGGAGACTTGCGGGGTTTCTTGGTGGCAGACTGGGCAAAGAAAACCAGCAGAGGGAAAGTTTATTATAGCTAGATCTGAAACACCCAAAGGCTTTACAAATCATACAGAAGCATTAATGTTTGTACACACACACACATATACACAAGTACCAGCCAGGCTGGAAGGGATCTCCCCAGGTCTCCAGCCTGCCCTCCTGCCCAAAGCAGGGTCAGCTGCGAGTTCAACCAGGCTGTCAGGGCTTGACCCTCAGGTACACGGATTTATTGATCACCTGTTGTTGAGGAACAGCTGAAAAGCCACTGCCATGTCAAGGTAAGCAGTGGTGAACTCCCAGAGCTGAAGTACCACTTCATATCAGTACCCATATTAGTTTTACACAACACAAATAAAATCAAGAACACAAAATAAACGTTTAGCATAACTGACAATCTTTGTAAGACAGTAAGTTATTAAAAATACACTTGTAATATTAACATTCATTTTCTGTCTTTTCATTTTAACGTAACTTTTGTAAAACTGTGCACAGAGTCATCTCTTCACATAAATCACTGAATTTGTACAGCCAAATTTACTAGATCATCACAACAGCCCCTTGCTTCAAAATTTTATGACATTTAAAACATTTTCCCCCTTTTTGTCAGGGATCCTGGGAAAAGGGAGGGGCTTTGATCAAGACTTGTAGTTTGAATTGGAAGGGTGAGAGCACCACTGAGCCCTCAGAAGAGATACAGAAATAACAGACAAATGTACTTCTGACTAACTGTAGGACAAAGGCAGATTCCTCAAGCCCAAGGAAATATCTCAGCATCCTTGCCCTGAATTAACACCAGATATATTACTGAGTCGACTTCTCTCTGGTATAGATTTTCTTTTGACCATAAGAACATCTCTCACAGGGGAGAAAACAAGTCTTCCATTTAACAAAAGCCATTCTGCATCTAAGCTGGGGCAGCTAAATCCAGATGCAGGATCTGTACTGAATCCTGCCTCAAGAGACAAAACAAGCAGACAAAGGATGCTCCGCTAGAAACTGAAGAAAATCCAACACTAGAACTTTCTGAGCTAGGCAAGGATTAACATGATCTGCAGGTGGAGAGGCACTATGTCCATTCCACAGCACTCCCACCCAGCAGGCATCTGACAGGGAGCCCAAGCTCAATCTCACCCAGAGTGCAGATACAAAAGCAAGTCTCATACAGGTCCTCCAGCCTGTTCCTCTAAAGGTCAGCAAGCACAGAGCACGTGGCGTTACCTTATTCATTAACACACAGTGTTACTCGCACAGTGCTCCCAAATTCACGGGAAGAAACTTTTCAGGCTGTGTTGACATGTCTGAGCTTTGTACAGGTTCTGCCCCTGAGCACAAAGGCCAGAGAGAAACCCTATTTCAAAAGGAAAACTGTTCACAGGGAGATGAAGCAGTGGGCTCCCCCAGTACTGGACACCTCAGATTCAGCCCAAGAGGGTGCTGGGCTGTCTTTTCTAGATGTGCTTTCGCCAAGAAAGGTTGGACCAGATGATCCCTGAGGTCCCTTCCAGACACTTACTCTATGACTCTATCCCAGATGGAGACAGCCAACACCACTGAAGCAAGTGAAGGAAAAGCATGGACTGGTACATCCATAGGACACAGAGAGGATTCACTCATGACACAGCGTAGCTGTGGAATACCTGCAGAGGCAGGTGTTCCTGGAAGTGCAGGGGCAAAGTCAAGCTATGAATCCAAAAATTACATTTGGCACTGAGGATGCCAGGGAGAGAAAGCCCTGCATGCCAGAAAAGAGACAGCTGAACTCACCAGAGGGTGGTCCTTCAGCTCAACACAAAACAAACCCATCCTCTAATGCCATGAAGAGCTTCTCCACAAGGAGAAGCTTGAGCCCTGCCCAAGGATGAGTGTGGCTTCAGGAAACCCGTCAGACCATCACTGACTGGTGTAAAAGTGGAGGTTTCTCAAGAGCAGAGGGAATTTGGAGCAGGTCTTCTCTTGTGAAGACTCACCAAATGGTCATCAAGATACAGGAAAAACAGAACATCTGTGTCCTAAAAGGAGCTCAGTGGTGGTCTTTACATGTCCCTTTTCATCCTTCCAGCCACAAGGTTCCAGCCCAAACCTCCTTGCATTGACAGACATGTTTGTAACTTTTTGCTTTTTTAAGCATTAGTCTGTCAGAATCCTAAGGTGGTTAAGAACTGACTGTTTTCCAGGCTCAAAACTGATTTTCCTCCTGTTTATGAGAGGGATCTCTGAAAAGTCCTGGGAAAGACAAGCTGGTTAGCAATATCATATCTAATGTACTCATAAATCCTTGTAACAACTTCCATAATCCAGGTATCTGCTGCAATGGCAGAGCCAGCACTGAGGTGAGTTAGGACTACCAGGGGGAGGGATAAAGCAGCATGACAGGGTAAGAATGCTTGAGGCTTTTTAATCACCCAGCACCCCAAGGAAGGTGCTGCTTGGAGCTGTGAGCCTGCGGCAATTACACCTGTGCTTTCACTCTCATAGCCACGACAGCTGGGCTGGGGCATGTCGAAAAAGGACTGACTGAGGTGCCAAACGAAGACAGAAATTACTGAGGATATTTCAGATCTGTGAAGTAGATTCAACTGACAACAACCAAAGCTGAGGATTTATAAATTCAGAAGCTCCAGACTACATCCCAGAAGCAGCTCTAAAATGGCCACATTGACGGGCACACAGCTCACCTGTTGCTTCGAGGCTTAAACTGAGGTAAATGGGAAACAAAATACTTACCTTGATGGCAGTTAAACAATGACAGTTCAGAATTTTGTAGCAAGTCATACTTTTCATGTCCTTAAAATTATTGTGAAGAAAAAAAGTGACCCACATTTATAAAATCAAGTAATACAGTAAAAGTTAATTCACGGACTATTAAAAAAAAGTGAAAGTGGCCTGACATTTCCATTAACATTCCCCAAGTTGATCTGATGCACTTCCCAAAGAAATAAAGACAGGAGAAGTGTTACAGGTCAGTAATTCCACCTCATGTGCCAGTGTAAAATGATGGCCTCTATGTGCATTCACACTGTAAGTAATTCAGAGCAATAAATACCTCATTTCTCAAGATAGATGGAAGAAGCTTTTTAACCTCCACTTGAGTAAGACTGAAGAACTTGCCTCCCCAAGGCATCAGCCTCTTGAGAGACCTCTGTGTTATAACTTCATGTTAAGTGGAAGAGTGGTAATGTCTGAACTCTCTCTAAATTAATCCTGATTAAAAACCCCATGGTACAACGTCACCTTAAAGAATTGAGGAGTCTGCTAGAAATGCTTGAAGCACTTCAATCCTTCTATCTGAGGCAACTGCTACCAAATACTGACTACTACCACAGAAAAATTAAGAATAAATTAGATTGCCAAAAAATACAAGGACCATCCTACCAAAAGCTTAAAAGGAAAACTTTTAGTGCTGTGAGGATTTCTCCACCAGGAAGCTACAGGTGGGGGAACAGAAAAGTCTTTCCATTGATGCTACAGATAATCTGCATTTCTAGTGAAATACAGACCTAAAGCACCAGGCAAGCAAGCTGAAACAGGACACTGGGGGAAATCACACCAAACCACAAACCTCCACTGCTGGGGAAAAATCTTCCAAGAGGATTCCTCCCTGTTATTAATCAGCACACGGATGATTTGGAACTAGAAGCAAAACTCAATCCCCTGCTGTATCTAACATCTATGCTACAAGATTAAATCAGGCCACGAGTCTGCTGCAAAGTTACAATTTCCCCCACGAATGCAAAGATAAGGCACTGTGTAGTGTTTACTCTGCACCAGAAACTACAGAAGGACCTGGAAGCAAAACTGTCCAGGTTGCTCTGGGGACAAAAGGATCAGAAGTGCCTTGTTCCATCTTGCCTTAACTGGAGAAAGACACACTGTGGCCCCGAGTATGGGACGAGAGAGACATCAGCAGAGCCAATTGCCACCTCTGGAACAGAGGGACTGAGGTTTCTTCTTTATCTTCTAAGTTCCAGAGGTTGAATCTGTCTACTCCTACTCCAAAGCTGAAATACAGCCAGGAATGTCTCTCACTCACTCAACCCTTAAGAGCTGAGGCTTAAGCCAAGCTATTCTGGGCCCCTGGGAAGGTAAGGCCAGGTAGGGTAAAATAAAGCATTCCAACAACGCTGAACAGTGTTGATTCAAAAGAGGAGACAAAGAGGACAGATAAATAACTGATGTGAGCCAGAGCTCCCTAATGTGAACACTGCATTGCATCACCAGCCCTTGGGCTTTCACATCCCCTACCTGGAACAGGAAAGCACATCCACACCCTCGTATTTCAACAATGCAACACACAGAAAGGGCATCTGGGCCAATGTTACTGAGGAGCTTCAATCGGAGGACCTTTATCTGTCACTCCTTAAATACACCTCACAGCATTCATTAAATGGATATTGGATGGGACCCTCACACACAGCACCACATAAAAACATGCACCAAAATATCCCCCTGCCTGGACAGATTCACCTCTTGGCCAGTCACTCCACAGGCAGCTGGTGTTTGGAAGGGGATGGCCCCAGCCACCACCATGCTAGAGCAGGACATGGTGCAGCTCCTGCTGAATTCACAGCAAGGGCTGGTGACCTCAGGACAAGCAGAGATTCTGAGAGCTACTCTGAAAGCCCAGTACACTTCACCTCTCTGCAAATTTACTGTCTAGTCTACTTGGTGAAGTATTCACTAGAATAGTCCCATAGAAGTGGAGAGGCTACTTGAAAAGCAGTGTTTGAGAATGGAACAATATGGGTTGAAATGGATCTTAAAGATCAACTATTTCCAAGTTTTTCAGGAAGGGAAGGCACCCTCAAAATATTATGGTTCTCTATGTTTGAAGAGATATTTGCTACAAAGGGCAAATTTTCCAAAGAGCATCATCCTCTTACAAAAGTCTCAAATCTGCAAAGAGGAGTGTCTTTGTTTGGGAAACAGTCTGGAAAATCCTGCAGTAGTAGACATCTTTCTGCTAAAAGGTCAAGTCCATTCCATAACTACAGCAGAAACCTGTTTAAAATACATACATGTATTTACTGGAGTACATTGTGTGCAGCTCTGCAATAGAACCATGCTGCTACACAGAGGAGTAAATTCCCTTCCCAAAAGAAGTCAATATGTTTATGGCAGAAGTGCCACTGGAGCTCTGATGGCCTACGGGCATCAGCAAATCAGCATTTACAGAAAGATATCCAATTTTATTAGACCATAATATTTTAGTTAAGAAAAAAACCCTTAACCACAAAAACCAGAAGAGCCTTTGGGCAGAACAGGTTTTCTTCAGGTCTACAACAGAAATTAAAAACATGAAAGCTAAGGATCAAGTTGGCATTGAGTGGTTTTTTGCTTTTGGGATTTTTTTTTTTTTTTTGGTAGAAGAACCAGGGGAGAACTTTATCATGACATAAAATGAAACAGGCAGCTGAGAGAGGCTGTGCAGCTTTGGTGGTTTTCAAGGCCACACTGGAAAAGCCACAAGCAATGTGGTCTAATCCCAAAGCTGAGCCTGCTCCCAGCAGGAGGCTGCAATGAGACCTCCTGAGCTCCCTCCCACCCCATTCCATGATTGATCATTATTGATTTCCCACACTGAATTTCTCCCAGTTCCTAAAGATACCAATTCTTGAGATTTTGGGGTGGAGGTCAAGAGGGGAAGAGAAGGTAGAACTGTATAAATTATTCCAATTTTTGGCAAACCACAGTGTTACAAAGGACACTATTTCTTTTATTCCCTACTTTCTTCTTCCAAGTTTTAAGACTGGATTTGGGGGGTTTTGACCCCTATTGAGCAGTCAGATGATGCTTTCCCAGAATCACCCCTGATAACCCTGAGGTCTTGCTCCTTAGCAGCAGCAGCAGCAGGCAGCTCACAGCCCATCACTCTGGGGATGAAGCAATGGCTGCTTCCTCTGCACCTTCATCACTTTACAATCACACACTTTATGAGCCTGGAGTTGTTCTGAGCATAATGAGCAATTCCTCGTGTAGAAACCTGAGAGCTGGACCAGCACAGCGTTCCAGTGAGTGTTCCCACAGGAGCTACTAATAAACTGAAACACAGAGATGAGAGATGCCTTTTGTAACACACCCCTTTCCCTCCCAGCGAGTGTGTGCTGGGTAAAAGTGCTGCTGTAACTTCAGGTCCTCCATTCTGATGACCTTTTGGGTCAGCAATCAGGTTCCACCAGCCTGGTTCTTTTATTAGATCTGCAAACCCCCATAAATTTACTGCTGAGATATTCCTAAGGTAATTTTTGATTCTGCCCTTTGCTTATAAGCTATACAAACAGACGAGCTGTTCTCTTCAGGTGCTTCTTTAAAGTTTCCTGTACAGAAGCTCCATGTTCCTGAGCAAATCCATTCATCTGATCAGGAATACTCACATCATAGGGAATTGTCCAAAATCTTTCAAAAAGGAAGACAACGTGCCCAGAAGACTCCAGGAGTTAAAATGCTGGCTCCCAAAGGAAGTTCAGAAACTGATGCAAACTGAAAACCAACCCTAAGGAGGAATTTGCTCCTTGGCCAGCACACTGAGAGGAACACAAGGTTCTGTCCACTCCTAGAGCTCACCAGCCCATGTTTAAAGACTTAACACTTAGAGTGGAAGCCCTTCGAGGACCAAGATGAAGAACAACATGACACGCAGAACTTTCCCTTTATTTTCCAATAAATTGGCTGTTCCATAAAACAAATTAAAACAAAAGAGAAGCCTCCTTAAATACCCTGTGTAATAGGGTTCTTCTGTACGTTCCTATTCAGGGGCCAGCAGTGGCAGACTCCTATAAACCAGCAGACACAAGATCCCCCACTGCAGGCTGAGGCTCCCAATCTACACGTGGGATGCAGCTTATGTCAATCACATGAATTTTTCAAATATGCCAATAGATTTTCTGAGGCATCTAGTTAATACTGTGCTGCAACTCTTCCCACTATGAGATTATCATTTACTAAAAGGATGGCTCAAATGTCATCTGTCACTTAAAATCCATTACAACCTTCAAACAGAAAGTAAAGTGGCTGTGCTTACTGAGGATGTTCTCACGTCTGCAAGAACGCTGCAATATGGCAATAAAAACAAAACTCTAATGTCCATGTGAGCAGTAAGTGAAAGAAAAATTAATAGCTACTATGAGATCATTTTTATGTCCCTTTTTAGACACTCCAAACACTGTTTGCATATCAATCTGATAAATATTTCATACTACAAGTCTTCACAAAGTTTGACACAGAACTCAATAAAAGCCTATTTACATGACCACAAGATGATGAGATGAAAAACAGTTTGCAGTCAATTTTAAATAGATGCATAACAAAGCAAAACTAAATTACACATACTGGAGGCCTGCCAGGACGGCCCCTTTTTCTTTTTCCTTTGACTTCTGCTTCTTCAAGCTCACTGCCAGCATCTGAATGTGCAGTAGTTTCGTTTGTAGAATCCCTAGGGGGGAAAAACACTAGATAAATTCAAATGATTTGAAACCAACAAGTCATCCATAACCGACCGATTAAAAACTCAGTCCTAAGCCAGAAAACAGACAAACAAACAAAATCAGCATTAAAAGGCTCGCCACATTCATTCTGCAAACCAAGGAACCAAGCACTGTTAGCCCTGGCCAACAGCCTTACCTTTTCACGGGCTGGAATGTCAGTTTATTGACTGGAAGTTGTTTAAATTAACAGCTTCACTTGAAACCATGCTATGCTTCCAAGCGGGCCATATCAACCAGCACATCCTCAGTACATCAATCCCACCATGTATCAACTTTCTTTCCCTCTCAGTGACTGCTGCCATTCTCTCAGGGCCACAGACAGCACTGGGGGGTCAGTGCAGCTGCCAGCTCGCTGGGACACACAAGTTTCACTCGGGTTACACTGTGTTTTCAGGCACCCCGAGGACTTGCAGCTGTTAATAAAGAGCATTAATGCTGACTGTGAGGCCCAAACCAGAAAACTCCCTGTGGTCTGAACACATTTATGATTTTTGCAGTTCCAAAGATGCTTTCCCTTGTACAAAGGAAAAGCCTTGACTCTGGTCGATGCCTGCTAGCAGAGAAGCCCACACTGTCATTTGTCATTCATTGCTGTTTCAGATTTAAGACCATATAAAGTAGGAGAAAAACATTCCGCCAGTTTTCACCATGTCCCCAGCCAGATGCACAGGTACTTCTCTGCCTTCCAGACAGACCTGGCTGCTTGAAGGAGCTTGGCTGGCAGCTGATCCCACATGCAAAATGACACCTGTTACTGACACGCTTTGTTTGTACCGAGCAGGACCTGCAGTGCATGAGATCTCTGCACATTTTAACTAACAACTAAAAATGTCCTGGATTACTCAAAGAGGGGGCAGGTGAAAACCAGACCTAGGTGGTGTTTAATAAAGCCTCGAACACAAAAGGCAGATCAGTGACCTGGTTTCCAGAACAGAGGCTTCAGCGAGCTGAGGATCTACACAGACCTTCCACAGTGTCTGGGGGGTATTTTTTGCTTTGTTTTATAGATCAGGAATTCACAGATTTGCTGTGTGACCAAGAAAGCTATTTAATAATGCAGAAAGACATTTCTGTATCAGAATCAGGAATGTTCTGATACTATTCTTCACTGAAATTACTGTATTGTCTAGGTCTGCTCTCCCTCAAATCATTCCACAGAACTATGATGAATTTCCAATATCAAGACTTTGTTTTCCAACTTTTTCCAATTTGCAAGCACAAGAACACCCAGGAGTCCACAGAATCCTTTACAAAAACCAGAATGCAGAAGAACATATATGAACCTCTTTTTCTGGGAGTAACTTCAATGGATTATCTCTAAATACTCCAAACACCCCAGAAAACCAGGCACCATAGATTAAAAAACAGTATCCAGGTACATAAATATGAGACTTGAGAAATTTAGTATCAAGCCATGAATGTGGGGGGAAAAAAAAAATCAAAAATGTAAAAAGCCCAAAGCCAAATAATAGATACCCCACACAGACTTCAAAATGATTTGGTAAAATAGGGCCACAGCAGAGAAAAGCAATGCAGTGAGCACTGCTGAAAACATGTTTATGGGGATGGCTGAATGCAGCCTTTACTCAAAGACCTCATCACACTGCAACTCCACGTGACAAAAATGTGTATTGCCTCACAGTGGCAATTTTAATACCTTTTGAATACAGAACTGAGGAACCCATAAAAATATCTGCTGCTGTCTACTACTGTAGAGAAATCAAAACCATTCTCTCCTGCTCTCTGCAAAATACCCAAGCTTCTCTCTGGTCTGCTCAGATCCTTACTGAAAATGTTTTAGGCATGGTGTGTCTGTCTAAGCAATATCCCCATTCTTAGAGAAATACTGTGCTTTTCCAGCTTACACACCTGCACCCCCAGGATCATCAGGATACAAAGATTTCTCTCCATTAAAACCAGATTCAACAATCCTCCCAGGCAAACTGCTCCAACCCTTCCCTGGAAACCGCTAGAGCTACATAAATAAATTAAACTCTACTACCTTTTCACATGTATCTTGTGCACAGAAAACCTGACTTTGCTATAGCCTTGGTTCAGGTCTAGCAAAACCTCTGGAGATTTGGGTATTTAGTTCTGGAAGTTTCAATTGTTACCAAGTACTGAATATGGAAGGAAAAGTTAAATTATTAACAGTCCTCTCTTCTTTGCCTTAAACAGACTTGCCTTAAGCCTGCTTCTCTTGATATGCTTCTGGTATAACTTCTCTGGCTTGCTGGAAGCCTTTTTGGCTTTTTCCCTCTCAATAAATCAGCACTAAGGGTGAGATTCATCTTATTTAAATTTGAGAAGTATACAATGCAGAACAGAAAATCTTTAGGTGCAACATGCCTCATGCTAAGGTCAGTGTTCAAAATTGGTCAAACAGTTTAAGTTTTATGGACTTTATTTTCTCTTCATTGATCTAGACAAGCAGCTCAAATATAAATGTTTAAAATTAAACAAGATGAATCTCATCCTAACAACAGTGAGGCAGAGAGGAGATTTCTTTCAAAGAATTTAAATACGTAAGGAGCAAGGGGAAAACATCACAAAGTAAATTCCCTTCAACCCTAGCATTTATTTGAAGTAGGGAGACAGAATCAAGGACAACCTACAGTCCTTGGCTGATTTAACATTAAAATAAACATCATTTCAAGCAGCAGGGAATTCTGCCTGAATCATGCAACTCCTGCACAAAAAGGTCCTTGCAGTGGGGCCCTGAGTTCCTTAAGCTGTGCCTCTTGCTCCTGTCCCAGCCTTGCTGTTGCTCGGGGTACACTCATCGTGCCCTTTTCCTCCTCTTTCTGAACTCAGAACAGGAGAAAAGCACCTCCCAGCTGCCTGCACCTCTGTCAGGTCTGGAACACCGAGAGGTCCTCCTGAGAGGAGCAGCTGGCCAGCATCCATCTCCCTCACTCCATACACATCTTGCAAGAACTGCTAGGAAGCAATTTATCTGGTGGCAGTTATCCACATCTTAATAGACCAGAATTATCCTGCCCTCACTCCTCGGGTGTGTGACCAGTCACCTGAGGGGGAAACTTCGGCTTAGTCACAATTTATATCTTTCCCGGAGCTGTTGTGAGGGAAGATAATCTGGGCCTAAGGAGACCTGCCTCATCTGAGGAGAGGAGAAGCTGGCAGCGCATAAGGCTAAACCTTTCCTCTCTAAGACTCCTTTGACATGACAGAGACGTGAGAGAATATGGCAGAGTGCGGGGGACCTACAGGACTGGGGCAAACAGAGCAAAGCACACAAGTGATAACCTCTTTTAGGAGCTCAAGTTCATTCTGCTTTGCTTTCTGTTTTCTGTGGTGACTAAAGCATGCCAGAAAAGTGGCAATAACTCCAGGAGCCCTCCTTAAAACTCCAGGTATTACTCTGGAGTTTTAATAACTAGCCATTGAAACCATCCATATGTTAAAGAATTAACAGATTACTGGGCAGCCTTTTACCATGTCATGGTTCTGAGGAATATATTTCCATAAACATGGTAAATTCCACATCTCTGCAAAATAAATGAAAACAATTTACCTTCTTTCTACTATTATATAAAGCCCTAGCTATGGAGTTTATACATCACGCCCCTTTAAAAACACAACACAGCAAAAAACTGAGTTTATGTATCAGTTTTTGTAAATAAAACCACTTCTATAAGCTTTTATCAGTGCTCCTGAGGTGGCTCAAGGTTCCATAGAGATAAATTCAGTAACTACTGCCACCACCAGATTCAGCCTTGTGAAAAAAAAAAAGCATTGATGAAGAAAAATGGCTAAATGCACAGGCTCATGAATCATGGATGAATCAGCCCTCATGGTTGATCCTCCACACTCCAAGAGGAACATGCCTCACAGCAAACATGAGTCATCCCATTGAGAGAAGGCTCAGAACTGTCCGTCACACGGCTCAAATGCACCACGGGTTTTCTCCAAACATCTGAAACACCAGTAAGCAAAATCACGTCTTCACTGTGTTCTGAAGCCAATTCTGTGAATGCAGAAAGGTTAAAGATTTCTCCTTTCATGTTCCCTCAACAGAGAAGAATTCTGGAGGGGAGTATTTGATATGGTCCTAAGCAAAGTACATTAATATATCAAATTGACTTCAGGAATATTTGTTTAAAGAGAGTAGCCAAAAAAGATTAAAAAATGTTATTAAAAAGTAGAAATAAGGCACACAAGTGAGAGATCAGAATAAGCCTTCAAAGCAGCTTATTTAAGAGCTGGAAAGAAAACCTTGGCTTTCTGGGTGGAACCAGACAGTGGCTTCCCAAATCTAAATGTGTGAAGCCAACAACCCTAACCCAAAGATTGCTTCAGGTTTCCTCACCCTTAGCTAGACTTATTCCTGATAAAAGCCTGGTTGGGACCTTCTGAATTAGTGCTTATCCCTTTCTCTGATAGCTCTTCCACACCAGGCTTAAGATTCTGACCCCTCAGGGGATTCTCAAAACCTTCATGTGCAAATCCTGCCGATTTTTTTTTTCTAAAAAGAAAGATCTCATGTTATTTACAAGCAATCAGAACTGCAGATACTACTGATGATGGTATCTCACCAACACTTCGCACAATGGCATCAAATACTTCCCAGTTCTACTAGAAATAAAATACATACGTGTTTTCTTCCATTTTTTAATGTTTATAGTATTGGTGGCTCACAATCATCCTCTGATTAAAGAACATGCTGATACCTTTAATGTCCCTCAGGTTTTTCAGCTGGTGTGCAGTTACCAAATCCATTAATAGGCACTTTTAACCTTGAACTCTATGATATTTCACTCACTTCTTAAGCCATCTGGGTTCTCAAACTGGGGACAGGAATATCCCTTTCCTACCACGGCCACGACAGAATCTCTGAGATTTTGATCCTTGGCACATTTCACAAATATTCTCTCACTTCTTGAATGTGGCACATCCAGGAAAATATGACCCCAGAACATGTTTTTCCACAGCAAATCCCAAAGCTAATCAGAACCCCCCAGGCTGACGCTGCCCATCAATGTTATCCCCGGCTTTAGCCTGTGCTCATCCACAACCAAGTTTCTTTAAAATAAAAAAAAAAAAAAATGACAAAACTGTAATGCAGAGCATGTTACGATTAAGGGCATACAAATGATTTTTTGTCCAAGCATTCAGTTTCTTAAGTAAGGGGACTTGAAATGTTAGCTTGGAATGCCACTCAATCCTGATAAACTGAGGCTCCTTCACACCCCATGGTAAAAAAAAGGCCAACATTAAAAAACATTNGAGGAGGGCACTCCGTGAGGGGACGAGGAGGGCACTCCGTGAGGGGACGAGGAGGGCACTCCGTGAGGGGACGAGGAGGGCACTCCGTGAGGGGACGAGGAGGGCACTCCGTGAGGGGACGAGGAGGGCACTCCGTGAGGGGACGAGGAGGGCACTCCGTGAGGGGACGAGGAGGGCACTCCGTGAGGGGACGAGGAGGGCACTCCGTGAGGGGACGAGGAGGGCACTCCGTGAGGGGACGAGGAGGGCACTCCGTGAGGGGGCTCCGTGAGGGGACAAGGGAAGGGGGACGAGGGGGGGGCTCCGTGAGGGGTGTGATCCGTGAGGGGAATGCTAGGGGGCTCTGAGGGGAGCAGGGGGGGAACTGGGGAAAGGACAGGGAAAAGGGAACACTTTGTGGGTTTTGTCTTTGTTTCTCACCATCATCCAAATCCTTTTTAATTAGCAATAAATTAATTTTCCCCAAGCTGAGCCTGTTTGGCCTGTTGTTATTTCCCTGTCATTAGTTCGCCCCACAAGCTTCTACACCTCGTCGTGTTCCCCCCCCCCGGCCTGTGAGGAGCAGGTTCCCTTCTCTAAAATTCCTTCCTAACTCCACTTGACTTACTCTCCAGCGCCTCTCATTACAAACCTCCACTCTCTTCTTCTCAGCAGCTCACTTTCTCCAGGCCCAGCCATGTTCCCATGTGTACATGCCACTCCCATTTCTCAGCAAGACCAAAATGTGCCCAATCCACTTGCTGTCTTCAACTGCAGCAGCCAAAGAAAGGCTTTTTGCACAATAAATCCAGTTCACGGTAAGGAAGTGCTCAATGGGAATATACAACATGGTCAGTTACGACCAAAACCCAACACTCACAACATTCAGAAGCATAAAAATAGCAGAGATCTTGTTTTGCTTTTCAAAGCAAAAGTTAAATCTCCATACGTAGAAAGAAATACATTTTAGATTAAGTGGTTTATGTCCTTTACACAGTTTTCCAGTGTATGAAAACAGAGAAGGCCTAGAACAGTCACACTAACCTGCAGTTCTCTCAAGTTTGTGCTTTATCCTCACAGTCACCTCTCTGTTTACTTCAACCTTTTTAAAAGCAAAGACTTCAAATACAGAGAGAAATGTATACTCACTGTAGTACTGGCAAATCTGAAGTAATCATTTTTGCAGCACTCTTAAAAGTAAGAGCTACATAGAACTTCTTCTCAAAGTTATTATAAGACAACTACTTGGAAACCTCTTTCATGAAAAGAATGTCAAAGTCCAGTCTGTAAGAGAGAGAAAAAAAAAATTGTTAGATGTGATTCCAAAACACTCATACATCAAATAAAAAGTGCTGTCAACAAAAAAGGACAATTTTGAAGTAGCACTACTATTAAACCACATGAGATTTAGAATGGATGGCCCTAGAACAGCTTAATCATATTCTTGCATTCAGTTTTTACAGTTCTCTTTGGGCATTTTGAGCAATTAAAAAAATGTGTTCTGCATTACCTCCCATATTTAACACATTTATGTTTCAATGGCACTGCACTTACTCAGACTCCCTAGCTCACAGTTTTATGTGACTGAACTTCACAGAACAGTCAGAAGCTGTGCAAGTGTATAACTGCAACAGAAGGTACTTTAACTTGATGGAAGTGAGGCTGTAAGTTTAAATAATAAACCAGACTGCCTCTGTAGTACCACTACACCCAATAGTAACATCTCTCTCCCCAAAAAGACCAATCAAGGAATTGACTAATCGCAGCAGACGCGACTTTACCGCTAAATAACAGCACAATGTGACAGATTCAATAATCTTCAATGTAATAAAGCACACAACTGCCATCCTATTCTTCCAGAAAATGCAAGTTCTGGAGAAAACAAAATGATTTATTCCATTCTCCTCTTTTACAGGTCCTGGGGTAATATGAAGAGCTGCATGGAGCACTGCGGCTGAGCAATGGCAGTGAATACCAACTGCATGATTTTAAAACATGGGATTTGTTCGAACGCTAATATTTAAATGCTTAATTTCATGGGCAGGTTTTTCTGTGCTTTAATAGCTTTGCACAAGGCAGCAGAAAAATCAAAGCAGGAAGAGGTAACGTGACCTGCACCAGACACAGGATCTAAATGGAAGTGCACCATTCTAAACAAAACAGTGCAACATCAAATTATTATTTCCATCCTACTACACCACAATATTGTTGATTTACCAAACTGTACATTGTGAACGCTTTTTTGCCTCTGTATACTACAGTTCCAATTAGACTCACAGTTGCACACAACTAGTTCTTCCACTACTTGGTACTTCATGCTACCAACATTTTCACTTACAGTGTCTCAAATTTAAATTTTTCTCTATATGCTGCCGTCTCATTGGCCATTTTTAATACTATATAATTAGTAAGCTACTCTGTTGCAAAACAAATGCTAACACAGGAGAGAGGTTTGTTTGGAGTTAAAGGTACCACTCTAACACTAATGGTTTAAAAGGGGTCATCTTCCACAGCCATGCAGGTGAAAAAGCTCTCCAGTTTCACTATGACACAAAGTTAGTCTGAATTTTTCAGGAACAAAAATGTTATATATGCTATTTGTGCTATTTCCAAATCAGTGTTTCTTCACTAGAGACACTGCCCATAACCATGGTTTAAAGGGGAATGGCATGCCCAGTCCACAACATAAAGCAACCACTTCACACTCTGGTAACACAGCACCAGACTGAATTCAGTTCTGAGTTGATTTCCTACACAAGAAAATAAAGGCAGTGCTCAGATCTCTGAAATGGCAAAGTTCACTACAACGGGAACAAGGCTGAAGATAAAGGTGTATTTTTTGTACATACACACCCATGCTAACTGGACCTCAAAGGAAACCTATCTAGTTTAGATCTTCAGATGATCTAAATCTAGCGGGATACTGGGCAACCTTACTTTTCAGAACAGCTTTCTAAAGAAGTTCAAGAAAATTTATGTGTGCTCCATGTGAGCTATTTCCCACAGATGTTTGAGGCATCCTGTACAACTGCTACGTGGGATTTTTCTGTTTGATTTTCTCTTTTAACCCAGTTCTCACCCCTCACAACCGCTGGGCTGTGCATGCTCAGCTGTAGTGACCCACCAGCCGTGTCACACCCATCCAGCACAGCCCTGCTGGCTATCCTGCTCTGGTGTCCCAACTCCTGCTGCCTCAGCCCACACAGCTGGGTCAGGAAGCCCTGACCAGCCCTGGGATCACTGCCTTGCAACTTCCAGCACCAGTAACGTTCCTCTCACTCACAGAAACACCACCACCTCCTTCCAAAGGGCAGCCTTAAACTAATCACCCACATTGCTTAGGAGTGGGCTGGAAATAAAATAAGGTCCTACAGTGACTAATAACAGGCTGTGCATGCTCTCAATTTACCTGTGCAATTAAGTTTGACAACTGTGGAAAATTCACTGATCCTTACGGACTACACAAATACGAACCTTCGTGTTTATTCTCATTTTAGGAAAAGAAACACCTGAAAGATGATGTTCTTATAACCAGGAAAATAAAACTCTGCCTCCTCCTCTCATTCAGCCTGAGAATAGAGCCATTTATAAAAATATCCTGAAAGCTTGAAACATATTCCCATTTTGTCACCTTTATGCCGGGGAACAGAAGAGTAGGGGGAGGAACATTTCATAAACTGGCATTTTGGGTTATTTAAACTATAATAAACACAACACAGTCCTTTAACATGCTTCCATTAAAAAAAAAAAAAAAAAAAAAGTCTGATGTTTTCATTCAGTCTCAATTTTAATGACCTTGGCATGTTTGCAGCTTTTTGAACCTGCCCATCTATATTTAAAGATGACATATGCTAGCACAGTTAAAATGACCTATAGAGAAATATAAAGCAGGCAGCTGAAAACACCAGTCAGTTTAAAAATGTGCTGGGAAACAAGTTTCCCTTTTTTGCCTGTTTTCGAACCACGCACAATAATCAGGGCTGACATAATAACCATTATACAAAACTTCCTCTTTAAAAAATATATCTTCTAGTAAGTTGTCTGGTTTATTATATTTTTTCTTCAGTAAGCGTCTCAATGAGATCAGCTTTAAAAAAGGCTCTACAATTTTACAACAATGAATCCACTACATGCATTCTATCAATATTTCCTGTAGTGTCCAGTAACATGCAAAGCTACCTACATTTTTTTGCAGTCCTTGGATTGTTTATTTGTCTCTTTGGTGCTGGAGTAATTTACCCACTGCAGCCAAAAACCAAAGGAATGAAAAGATTGACAAACCCCTGAAAGCTGACAGAGTCCTGCCGAGCAACTCTCTGGGTGCAACAACCAAAGCAAGTTCAATTAACTTTACAATGAACGAGGTACCTCCGCCTTCCAAAGCTGAGACCAAAACTTAAACCAAACAAATATAACAAAGAAATCCAACTACTAAATCCAGCAATAGAAGTTAAAATATAACTAATTCCACTGCCTGCAAGATATCCAAACCAAAAGGGAATTGGTATCAGACTGACTCCCAGTTCAAAATCCTTCCCTTGTTGACCAAGTAACTTTGTCCCATCTGAGTGCAAAATTAGTCCAACAATGGCTCCAACAACCAGAGCGTTGTCCTCCAGAATTACCTGGTAGCGCCTGTACCCCATACCCTCATTTTCCAGGTAAATGCCTGTGCTGCCTCGCTCAGTGCTCCCTGCAGGAACACACGATGGTGTGCCACGGCTCTGCTCAGCACCCCAAACAACGCGTGCAAAACTCGAGCTTTCATAGGCACTTTAGAGGCAACATTTTCACATTCTTGCCCAAAAAACACATCTGAGTAGTGGGAAAAGGCCCCTCCCAGCACAAACAATCCTGCTCTGCTCACCCAGGGAGAGCTCCAACCCATCCATCAACCAGGTGAGAGATGAGAGAGGATCTCACACGCAAGCAGAGCAGTTCTAGCTTTTCCTGCTTTATCCAACTCCACACAGGGCCTTACATCCTTCCTGATACCTTTCCTGAAAAATCCATATTCCACTTTATCACATTTTAGTGAGTATTTAAAGCAAGATTGAAAATCCAAGTGATAGAGAAATTATCACTGAGCACTAGTGAGTTCCTCACTACTTACAGGGCACAGCAAGCTCTGCCCATCCACACTCTGCGGCATTCCAGCATTCCTAATCCACTCAAACCATGACAAGAGGAGGAAATAGCAGCAGCAACTAGGCTAGCACAGCTCTGCTTCCTACATCCCTCACAGTCATACCAGACACATCATCGGGGTACTGCACACCCCTCTCCAATGTGTCTCTGCTGTCACTGCCACCATTCCAGTAGGATCCTTGGATAGGTGGACAGTTCTCAACCTGCCAAGACACATCAACAGCCAATACTAAACCCTGGGAGAGCTGGTTCATCCACCAGATGTTTGTGCCGTTCAGAGGGACCTGGACAGGCTGGAGCAGGGGACACACAGGAATCCCAGGGAGTTCAATAAATGGAACCACACGGTCCCACCTGGGAAGGAACAACCCCGTGCACAGGTCTGGGGCCAACCCTCTGGAAAGGAGCTTTCCCAAAAGAGATCTGGTGACACCAATTTAATGGGAGCCAGCAACACAGCTGGCTGAGGCTGCAGAGGCCAAGAACACCTCCTGGGCTGCTTCAGGCAGAGCACTGCCAGCCCTCAGTGACCCTTCCCCTCTACCCAGAGCCCAGGAGACACATGTGGAGCCCCATGCCCAGGGCTGGGCTCCCCAGGACAGGAGAAACACGGACACCTCTTGTTCTGCAGGAAAGGGATGCTTGGGAACAGCGTGGCACAGGTTTGGCTGGAGTCCCTCAGAAGGAGGGGGGCATCGGGACAGCAAGCTGAGGATGGACAAGCATTTCTCCTCAGGAACTGTCAGGAGGAAATTAATACAGAAAACAACAAAAAGGGAAGCGAGCTCACAGAGGCAATGCCTGTAATACAAGAGAAATGTAAGGCCAAGGGCAACACGGTGAGACTGTACACAAAATTAAAGCATTCAGCAGATGTCTATTACCAGTGATTAAAATATCTTTTTTTTTCTTCCATTCTTTGCAGGTATTTCCAGCCATGCCACAAACACCTATGGGAAAAAGAACTATCTCATGGCAACCTTGAGCTGTCCATTTAACATTGCCCTCAACTGCAGTTGTCCCCTCAGTTGCACCACCATGTAGAACTGACTCCACAGGCAAACCAGCTGTTGCTGCTTCCTCTCATCAAATGCTTTCAGCCTGGAAAGGTCCTGCCCAGTCAGCCAGAAAAATCA